TTTGTTCTTTCGCATAATCCACGATGATAACTTCAGTTCTTGTATTATCATTAACAAACTGGATTATGATCTATGTTTATGCAATAAAACATGTTTATTTTGGGGTGGTGCGTGGGAGGTAGGGATACCCTCATATCATTCTATAAGTTGCTAATAGAAAAGATGGATATATCCTCAAAAAGATAATATATGGTCAGCTTAACTATTTTATCAAGATATAGAGGATAAATGCATTGTGTTCATGCTCAACTACTAGTTGAGAAGATGTGCTTGCTCTGTTTGAAATGTACAAGAATGAGACTGTTCTAAATAGTTATGGAAAAATCCTTGTTAGGTATCCAGCCTCATTTTTTGCATTATTATATTGTACTTTTTTGTGCAGGCTAAGCCTGAAGCTGCTGAATGGAGAAACAAGCCGATTAGAAATTATGATAAGCTAATTGAGCTATATGGAAGGGATAGAGCTACTGGAAAGCAAGCTGAGACTGGAGCAGATATGGTAAAAAGGGGTGCTCGTAATAATTTGAGAAAATCAAGTGATAGTTCATTGACTATTGATGAGGTAGATGAACTAATTTCCATGAATGCTGCCTCTTTGGAAAATATCGAGGAACATGGACAACATGAGCAATATCAATCAACTCAGGAAGCACGTAAATCTAATGCATATTCAGAGGTACCGACTTCTAGCAGGAATAAAAAATCTAAACATGATCATCTTGAAGGCATGACTGATATGTTGAGAGGTGGGATGAATAATTTGGCTAATGCAATTAATCGCCTTTCAACTATGCCACCTATTCCTGAGAGTGAGATATGGCAAATGGTACAAGTGTTGGATTTAGAGCCTAGTATGCACATGAAAGCTTATATATTTCTTTGCAAACATGCAGACTTGTGCCGCACACTAATTGGGTGTCCATTGGAAGACCGCAAATTTCTTTTACTAACCTTGATGTCGTCACCTGGCAATTGAGTTAGACTAAATATTTTTTGTGCTTTAGCTATTGAGGATTTTATAGACTTTGACTAGATCGATATGAATTTTATATGTCATGTTGCTAGAAATTTTTACTATATTATGCACTTTAAGTTTGGAATTATTTGAGATATGGAACAATATCATTCCACATCATGTGTTTTCTCTATATTGTGGTTGTTTAGTTATCTTCTACTTGTGTCGTATTAGATCTGGTATATCATTTTTCAAAGAATAGCATTTAGTACTACATATTTTGACAAGTACATGCCATTTAACATGTAAATAGCAAAAAATAATCATAGATATAGATGCTTCGACCTACCATTAGTCTCAAATGTTATACCTCTTTCCAACCTTTAATAAAATAATTGAGGGTATTTTAGTAAACTTAGAAGTACAGTACAGTACAATACAGTCAAGCCAAACAATAAAGATGTTATTTAACAACAGCAAATGATACAGTCTATCCAAACGTTGTATCCATCAAAACGATACAATACAGTACAGTACAATACAATACGA